ACTTACAACTACTGATATTAGTTGGTGATTTATTTTTTCGATATTTGTTTCCAAATTAATTATTTGTTTTTTCTGAAAATAGATACATTATATAAATCAGATATTAAAGAAAATTAGTAAGTAATATAATCACCAGGAACACTTACAATATTGTCTAAATCGACACGACTGTATTTTAATTTGTTAGTGAGACTACAAATTTCAGAGTTTATTGTACTCAGCTCAGATTGTTTTTTACTACATTTTGAAACCTCTTTCATTTTTTCTATTAAAGTTGCCTAAAATTATTCTTATTAAAATAAAAATTGTTATTTATATAATTATATAAAGAAAAAAAAAAGAATTAAAAACCTTTTGTAACTTCATCTCTTGTGTCTGCTTATCTTTCCATACAGTAGCTTTGGTTGATAAGTCAAATAATCCTCCAGAAAATAAACCTGATTTCTGGTAATAACTTCCATCAAGCGCAACACACTATTATATAATAAAAATATGTAAATAAAAGATAAAATTAATTAATGCTTATTAAAATATAATAAGTATATAATTCGTAGGTTACTCACTGCGTATCTGTAATTCGAATGAATTTCATATGCAACTCTTCTAGCATCTTCTGATGTTTCGCATAAAAGCGTATTTTTGGTCACAAATAAGATAGCATTAGAAATGTCTTTAGGAAAGTATTCGATTACATCATATAATAGCTGCACATTTTGTAGATTTCTCATATTTCTATGAATAGATTAACACTTGAAAATTTTGCTATTGTATTTGAAATTTCTACTTACATATTCTTCATTTATATTTTTAAAAGATAATACCTCAAATTATGTCGAAGCTGGTCACTGTGAAATTCAATCTTTAAAGAATCAAGTGGTAAAAATGTTTCTACACATATTTGTTGTTGTTTCAAATAATCAATGCATTTCCTTGCCACTTTTTCTGTTTCAACAACGATTGCATCTTTGAAATTCCAAAGTACCTTAGTTACAGCAATATTATATCGTTCATGAATTGGTTTACACAAAGTAAATAAACGACCATACTAAAAATATAAAATATAACATAGTTATAGAAAAGAAGAATTTTGAAGTTAAAGTTGACTAATAAGATATAAAATTACCACTTCTGGAAATAAATCTTTTAAAACTCTAATTGTATTTAATTTTTCGCATTCTTTTGAATCTGCGAATTTATTTATTTGAATAGCATTTAATTTATTTGTAATTTTATTGAGTTCCATTTGCGTTTCTTCCATTATAATGTTATTTTGTATTATTTCATCTTTAAGATTATGTTTAAGTGTTTTTTTCTCTGCTAAAGTAACTTCGGTTGTTATTATATATTGTTGTAATAGTTCTTCTCGCTTTTCTGTTTCTTTTGACATGAATTGTAATCTTTTCTTTCTGTCTTCCAATTCAATTTTCTTTTGTTTTTCATTATCAAGTTTATTTTGATCGTTCTCTTGGTCGTACTTGAGAGAATTTAGATTTTTCGTTTGTTTTTTACACTCTCGTTCTACTTTACCTTTTAAAGAATAATAGGTTTCTATCTTTAAAAAAAAAATATGTAAATTAAAATTTAATATTGAATTATAAGAAAATATAATTACAAAAATATATTATAAAGACTATGTAAGTATTCTATAATACTTGAGCATTGTCCAGTTCCAAGTTACTTAGTTGCGATTCAAGTTCACTTGAAATGCTTTGCGTTAAATTAATTTTTAATGCCTCTACTTTTGCCAATTCATTTTTTAGATCTTCCATAGTCTTAAGATGTACTTCATCCGCATGATATGCTTTAGTTAAAGATTTATGAATAAATGAAATCTTTTGTTGTAAATGAGAAATTTTTTCTTTCACAGCAATTAACTGTGTAGTTTGTTGAGCCTGTTGTAAATTTGTTTTTGTCAAATTATCTTCCATCATTGCTTCTTGATCCATTATTTCAAAATATTTCTTCTTCTTTTGTTCCAATATAATTTCTGCCTTTTTTTTCTCATCCTCATGTTGATCCATTTTGGATTTATTGTCGTTCCAAAGTAATTGTAAATTCTCAAGATCCCTTTTTATATGAAACAATCTAAATAGTTGTAATTCTGTTTTTTTATCTTGCTAAATGTTTTAAAAAAGATAAAGAACATAAATCATAATACGAAATGTTTTGTAGAGTACGATAACAAGTTAACATACATATTCCTTTTGTAATAATTTATATTCTTTTGCTTCCTCTTGTTGTAATACAAGACGTTTCTTTTCAACTGTGAGACACTTTTTTTTGTGAATCATATGATGAAAGTCTAGATCACATTTTTGCATTTCATTTTGTAATCTACATAAGAGTAAAGGTAGATATTAAATATTTTTCTTATAACACTTAAAATAATCAAATAATTTTAGGAAAAACAATTATTTCTCATATTACGTTTTGTATTTCGATTTTAGTTCAGCAGACTTGCTAATTTCATCGAACATAATAGAAATTTCTTTAGGATTTATAACACACATCGCTTCAATACTTCCTTGAAATATTAGGAAATTCTTACTTTTTACATTAAGTCCAAGCGATATAAGTTCACGAACGTAAAATTCAAATTTAACAATCTAAACATTTCACATTATTATGAGAATTATTGTAATTTACATACAATTGAATTTCTATTTACTTAATAAAAGGAAAATATCATTTTTATTTTACCTTGTTATTTATACTATATACATTGGAAGAATTTTGAATGCTACGGGTAAATTTCTTACCCTTACCTTCTATTTCAAAAATAGCTGTTACATGTGTACTACAAATAACAATAATAATACTTTCAATTAGAATGGTATCAAACAAAAAAAAATAATGATGTTATACAAATAAATGAAAAAAATAAACAATGGTAATATAAAATCAACCTATTTGATATTAATGTTCCATCAGACTTATGGGAAATAAGATCATTTAATTGACGAGCACGTAAATTACTGATTTTTTCTCCCATTACAAAACTAATCGCATCCATAATATTAGATTTTCCTGGAAATATATAAACATATATATATATATATATATATATATATATATTTTTGTTAATAAATATTTTATGAATTTATAAAAAAAATGAGAATATACAATAAATAATTAAAAAATGTATATATATGTATATATTTACCAGTGCCATTTGGTCCAATAATTGCACAAAAAGGCTTAAACGGACCGATAATTACTTCGCCGCAAAATGATTTAAAATTGTAAAGTATTATTTCCTTCAAATATATGCTCATTGTGAATCTTTTTTTTCTTTTTAATGTAGATAATTGAGGAGAATATTTAAAAGTATTTGTGTCAAAAGTACTTTTATATATAAACTGTAACGGTTTTTCAAATAACAATTGAACACTAACAGTTTTACAGCATATAACATTTAAATCATAATGTACACATATGTACTACTAGTGTCAAATATGATACACAAAACTTTTATCGATGAAAACTTTTTATTTTTAATTTTGTAGAAATAATTAAATTTTTTAAAATATAATTACTTCTACAAAAATGAATAATAAATATAACGATAAAAACTATTTTTATATAGATTTAAGTTTATGCTATAAATCAGTGTTTCTTAATTGGTAGTCTGCAAAACAATCTTAATAGCCCGCCAAAAGCATATAAATTTAATTATATGTGATATATATGTTTTTGCAATCTTTTAAATCATGATAAATTTTATTAAATTTATTTTTAATTTAGTTCAAAAACTTAATTTTGTTTTTTTATTGTTTTATTCATAGAGTTTATAGAAAATAAACTAAAAAAGGTTATTGAAATATTATTTTTTGTTTTTACTTAGATTTTGTTGATTATTAATTCGATATTTTATTAGTTAATTTACTTGTGTAAATTTGTTAAACACTACAATAATTGTATTTTATTATAAAAACATTCACTCTATCTTCTATTATTTTAGTTCAATACGTCATTTGATTCATAATAAAAGTATTTTTAAATTGATTGGTCTGCGGCATGTAGTCAGTTGAGAATTACTGCTATAGGTAATATAGTTCTAAGGGTTTACTTACACTACGATAAGAAACATTTTTAACGATGAAAAGTATTGTATGGGGGTTGGAAGTTTTATAAAACTTAGTAGGAAATATGTGTGAATAAATATATATATATATATATATATATATATATATGTTTATATATTTCCAGGAAAATCTAATATTATGGATGCGATTAGTTTTGTAATGGGAGAAAAAATCAGTAATTTACGTGCTCGTCAATTAAATGATCTTATTTCCCATAAGTCTGATGGAACATTAATATCAAATAGGTTGATTTTATATTACCATTGTTTATTTTTTTCATTTATTTGTATAACATCATTATTTTTTTTTGTTTGATACCATTCTAATTGAAAGTATTATTATTGTTATTTGTAGTACACATGTAACAGCTATTTTTGAAATAGAAGGTAAGGGTAAGAAATTTACCCGTAGCATTCAAAATTCTTCCAATGTATATAGTATAAATAACAAGGTAAAATAAAAATGATATTTTCCTTTTATTAAGTAAATAGAAATTCAATTGTATGTAAATTACAATAATTCTCATAATAATGTGAAATGTTTAGATTGTTAAATTTGAATTTTACGTTCGTGAACTTATATCGCTTGGACTTAATGTAAAAAGTAAGAATTTCCTAATATTTCAAGGAAGTATTGAAGCGATGTGTGTTATAAATCCTAAAGAAATTTCTATTATGTTCGATGAAATTAGCAAGTCTGCTGAACTAAAATCGAAATACAAAACGTAATATGAGAAATAATTGTTTTTCCTAAAATTATTTGATTATTTTAAGTGTTATAAGAAAAATATTTAATATCTACCTTTACTCTTATGTAGATTACAAAATGAAATGCAAAAATGTGATCTAGACTTTCATCATATGATTCACAAAAAAAAGTGTCTCACAGTTGAAAAGAAACGTCTTGTATTACAACAAGAGGAAGCAAAAGAATATAAATTATTACAAAAGGAATATGTATGTTAACTTGTTATCGTACTCTACAAAACATTTCGTATTATGATTTATGTTCTTTATCTTTTTTAAAACATTTAGCAAGATAAAAAAACAGAATTACAACTATTTAGATTGTTTCATATAAAAAGGGATCTTGAGAATTTACAATTACTTTGGAACGACAATAAATCCAAAATGGATCAACATGAGGATGAGAAAAAAAAGGCAGAAATTATATTGGAACAAAAGAAGAAGAAATATTTTGAAATAATGGATCAAGAAGCAATGATGGAAGATAATTTGACAAAAACAAATTTACAACAGGCTCAACAAACTACACAGTTAATTGCTGTGAAAGAAAAAATTTCTCATTTACAACAAAAGATTTCATTTATTCATAAATCTTTAACTAAAGCATATCATGCGGATGAAGTACATCTTAAGACTATGGAAGATCTAAAAAATGAATTGGCAAAAGTAGAGGCATTAAAAATTAATTTAACGCAAAGCATTTCAAGTGAACTTGAATCGCAACTAAGTAACTTGGAACTGGACAATGCTCAAGTATTATAGAATACTTACATAGTCTTTATAATATATTTTTGTAATTATATTTTCTTATAATTCAATATTAAATTTTAATTTACATATTTTTTTTTTAAAGATAGAAACCTATTATTCTTTAAAAGGTAAAGTAGAACGAGAGTGTAAAAAACAAACGAAAAATCTAAATTCTCTCAAGTACGACCAAGAGAACGATCAAAATAAACTTGATAATGAAAAACAAAAGAAAATTGAATTGGAAGACAGAAAGAAAAGATTACAATTCATGTCAAAAGAAACAGAAAAGCGAGAAGAACTATTACAACAATATATAATAACAACCGAAGTTACTTTAGCAGAGAAAAAAACACTTAAACATAATCTTAAAGATGAAATAATACAAAATAACATTATAATGGAAGAAACGCAAATGGAACTCAATAAAATTACAAATAAATTAAATGCTATTCAAATAAATAAATTCGCAGATTCAAAAGAATGCGAAAAATTAAATACAATTAGAGTTTTAAAAGATTTATTTCCAGAAGTGGTAATTTTATATCTTATTAGTCAACTTTAACTTCAAAATTCTTCTTTTCTATAACTATGTTATATTTTATATTTTTAGTATGGTCGTTTATTTACTTTGTGTAAACCAATTCATGAACGATATAATATTGCTGTAACTAAGGTACTTTGGAATTTCAAAGATGCAATCGTTGTTGAAACAGAAAAAGTGGCAAGGAAATGCATTGATTATTTGAAACAACAACAAATATGTGTAGAAACATTTTTACCACTTGATTCTTTAAAGATTGAATTTCACAGTGACCAGCTTCGACATAATTTGAGGTATTATCTTTTAAAAATATAAATGAAGAATATGTAAGTAGAAATTTCAAATACAATAGCAAAATTTTCAAGTGTTAATCTATTCATAGAAATATGAGAAATCTACAAAATGTGCAGCTATTATATGATGTAATCGAATACTTTCCTAAAGACATTTCTAATGCTATCTTATTTGTGACCAAAAATACGCTTTTATGCGAAACATCAGAAGATGCTAGAAGAGTTGCATATGAAATTCATTCGAATTACAGATACGCAGTGAGTAACCTACGAATTATATACTTATTATATTTTAATAAGCATTAATTAATTTTATCTTTTATTTACATATTTTTATTATATAATAGTGTGTTGCGCTTGATGGAAGTTATTACCAGAAATCAGGTTTATTTTCTGGAGGATTATTTGACTTATCAACCAAAGCTACTGTATGGAAAGATAAGCAGACACAAGAGATGAAGTTACAAAAGGTTTTTAATTCTTTTTTTTTTCTTTATATAATTATATAAATAACAATTTTTATTTTAATAAGAATAATTTTAGGCAACTTTAATAGAAAAAATGAAAGAGGTTTCAAAATGTAGTAAAAAACAATCTGAGCTGAGTACAATAAACTCTGAAATTTGTAGTCTCACTAACAAATTAAAATACAGTCGTGTCGATTTAGACAATATTGTAAGTGTTCCTGGTGATTATATTACTTACTAATTTTCTTTAATATCTGATTTATATAATGTATCTATTTTCAGAAAAAACAAATAATTAATTTGGAAACAAATATCGAAAAAATAAATCACCAACTAATATCAGTAGTTGTAAGTNTAATCAATATTCTTGTCCCAACAGTATATTAATATATATGAGTTTCAAAGGGAAAATTGAAGACAGTTAATAAATTTTGATGAACAAATTTATTTGATCTTGTTGAACGTTTCGTCCCTTACTGGGGACTTCCTCAGCTACTACAAAAATTTTTTTTTTTTTTTCTTTATATATATATATATAATAATAAATATATAAGATTTATGGGGTATATACAAAATAAAATAACAAATTAATCGCTTACAATATATACATGGTGTAGAAAATTATGATTTTATTTTTAAAAATTGTAAATAAATAAATTGTTTGAGTCGCTTAAGTTTTCGCACTTGTTATGGCGGTAAGAAGATAGCAGGTTCTGTATTCAGTAGTATAATATTTAGAAAGGCAGACATAAACGCTATAAGAAAGAAAGGTTACGTTTGTTTAGATTAATTTTTCCCCATCGTGGAGTGATATTATGTTATATATTTAATAATTTATAAATAAATATATTATACATATTAGACATTGTTTACATATTTATTTATATTTAATTACTCAAATTAAATTAAAATTTTTATAATAATCTTAGGTTGTATATATTGAATAGAAAGATCAAAAAATTTAGATATGTACTATGGATGAAATTAGTTTAGAAGGCAAACAATCTCTTAATTATTCTAATTGTTCTGATAATATATTTAGTGAGAAATCTTAATATTTGTTTTTAAATCAATAATAATAATGTTATATTTTTTTAGATACAAAATCAAAGAGTACTACATCCGCAGTTCAAATAAAAGATAAAGAAAAAATACAGAAGATTGTAACATTAAAAAGAATAAGAAACGACATTAGCGAAGAAAGTTCTCAATCCTCCGATGAATGTTTCTCCCCCGAAATTAAATATACTGGTAATAATTGATATATTATAACATTAAGTTTCCCATAAAGTAGTTCTTTTAATTTTAAGGCATTTTTTCTAGGCCCTCCTGTAAGATATAAACTCTCTTATAAAGAAAACGGACAATCTGAGATTGTTAAGGAGATTATTAAAGAGACTTCAAAATGAATGCAAAATTAAATAAGTGTTCCGACAATGAAATATATCATTTATTGATGTCTGATACAAAAAGTAAAATTCCTATAATCAAACTACACAGAATTTCAACCATTGAAAAATTGGTAAAACCTAACAAAAATGAAAATATAAATTATTGTAACTCCAAAGAATTATTTGACTCGAACAAATCTATATCAAAGAGTAGCTCCACTGAAAAATCCATGACTTCTTTGAAAATTAAATTGAGACGTTCTACGGAACAAAGCAATTACAAAATTGATAACGGAAGGTAAGAATATAAATACGATCGTATATTTGTTTGTTTATTGTTAACTCTGTTTACATTTTGTATAGTATTCAAATTAAAATGTTTTTTTTAGTAATAAGAAGATTACTAAAAATATAAAGGAAAACAATGATCCGGTAGAATCACCGCGTAGAATGGAAAGACTTCGCAGTCGACCTAAAAGATTCAGTGATTATGAATGTAATATGTTTCCTAGTTTTAATTCTTTAAAATTAAGAACAAGAAGAACTATTAATTACAACGAAGAGCTTACTTACGATAATTCATCTCCGAAGCATAATAAGCATGAAGATAGTGATTTTAAAGAACATATAATAGAACAAAAACAATTATCAAAAGTATCAAATGATACAGAAGAAAATATAAAAACTGTGGATAATAATCAATTTCAAAATATTACAGACACACCTAAGAAAACAACTAAACGTATTGCTCATACAAAATTTATAACAGATTCCATGGATGAAGATTTAAATAATACTGATAAAACTCTATTATTGACTAAGAAATACAGACAGACTGTTAGGAATAAAGTATTAGAAGATAAACAAAATAAAGATAATGACGAAGAAGAAATAAATGATTTATGCGATGGTATTATGATGATGTCAAATAATATTTTAACACCAAAAAAGAAAAATAATAGGCAGGAACAAAAAGAATCCAAAGATTTGAAAAAAAACATAAGGACACCAAAATCATCTGTTTCATTCAAATTAAGTAATTTGACACCATCCATGAAAAAAAGAACTTCATTATTAACAAAGCCATTAACACCTTTACAACAAAGTAGATCTAAATTACATGTGAGCGTTATACCAAAATCGTTACCTTGCAGAGAAGAGGAATTCAATAATATCTTCACATTTTTGGAAGGAAAATTAATGGATAAATGTGGAGGGTATGTTGATAATAGACTATTATATTAATAAAATGAAAGATTTGTTTTTCCATACATATCAACTATTTCTAATATTTGTTAATATATAGATGTATTTACATAAGCGGAGTTCCTGGAACAGGTAAAACTGCTACTGTAAATGAAGTAATACGTTGTTTAAAAAGATCAGTGGCAAAAGGAAAACTGGATGATTTTGACTTTTTTGAAATTAATGGTATGAAGTTGACAGAACCGAGACAAGCTTATGTGCAAATTTGGAAGCAATTGAATGGTAACACTTGTACATGGGAAAAAGCATATCATGAACTTGAAAAGCAATTTACTAGTAAAAATTCTAAAAGGCTAATGACTTTGTTACTTGTAGATGAGGTAAATTATCCACATATATATAAATTAATTTAATTTATAATTATTGAATTTTTTATTCTGTGTTTTTAGAGTTTGCTTTATTAATGCATGGAAATATTGTATTGTTATTTTTTTTATTTGATTGTTTGATTTATTTAGACAATTCCTTTTTCTGTTTTGTTTATAAATATAGCTTGATCTTTTGTGCACAAAACGACAAGATGTAGTTTATAATTTATTAGATTGGCCTACTAAAGCAAATGCACAATTAGTTGTTATTACTATAGCTAATACTATGGATTTGCCAGAAAGAATATTAATGGGTCGTGTTACCTCACGATTAGGTCTTACGCGATTAACATTTCAACCATACAATCATAAACAATTACAAGAAATAGTATTAACAAGACTTAAGGATTCAGATGCATTTAGAAGCGAAGCTATACAATTAGTTGCACGGTTAGTAAATATTGTTATTCAAATCTTTTAGAATTTAAAGTCAATTAGTTATTTTTTATACATTTATCCATCATATTTCATAAATACAATTTTTTATAAAATAGAAAAGTATCTGCTGTATCTGGAGATGCTCGTAGAGCTTTAGATATATGTCGACGTGCTACTGAGATTGCAGAATTGTACAAAAGAGAAAAAGTTATCATGCAAGATGTAAATGAAGCTCTATCAGAAATGATTGAAAACTCTAAAGTTCAAGCTATAAAACATTGTTCAAAAATGGAGCAAATGTTCTTGCAAGCTGTATCCGCACTAGTAACACGAACTAGTATCGAAGAAGCTTGTTTTAAAGATGTATATCAACAACTCTGTTCCATATGCTCCTTTGAAGGTTTGTATGTTAGATTAAAATTAGTAACAACACAACAAAAAATTTATTTGTATTATTTTTATAGGTATTCGGATACCTAATATAACAGAAGTATTTGCTATATGTGGAAGATTGGAAGCTAGTAGATTGATAATACGTGACAATGCACGGATGGATATACATCAAAAACTTTTGTTAAATGCATCAGCAGATGATATTCATTTTGCATTACAACCCATTGATCTTAATTAAAACCATGTATTTCACTTTTTTTCTTATTTAAATTCTTAATGTCTGTATGTGCCTTACTTTGTGCAGTATATATTTTATAATTGTTTCAAACGTATTTATATAATATTTTTAAGTAAGATAAAATGAAAATAAATTTCAAAGAAACGATGAATGTTCGACTATCACATATATATATATATGTGCCTAAATTTGTACAGAATATTTATATAAGTCTATATTAATAGATATGAATTGCATAACCCGTTCTGTCTATAAAGGTATATAATTATAACTCTTTCATCTAACATAATCCATTTGTGTTTTACCAATTTTGTGCAACGAACATATGGTTTTGTATCAATTAGCCATTTATATTACATACATTCTGTGTTATAATATTATTTTATACTTTTATATACAAGAAATGAATGCTGAAAATATTGATGAAGTTATTATTAGATTACATAATGACCATAATTGGAAAGACATTGTGAATTTATCTTCTGTTATTGATAGCTCAAAAACCTATAGATTATTTTGGGTACTTCCAACTTTAGATGATTTAAGTTGGATGACTGAAATAATTAAAGAGTATAAAATATTAGGAATAATTAGCATAGGTTGCGGTTGTGGCTTGATCGAATGGTTATTGCAAAATTTTTCCGGTAAGTACTTATAGAGTACAGGAATTTTGAAGTCGTTCAAGATATATAAATTTATTATTAAAAACTAAATAAATATTAAGTTCTTTTTCAATTTTTTAGGTTTAAATATTACTGGTTTAGAACTGGATAATTCCTGGTGGCGAAGTAAATATGCTCCTCCACTATTTCTTGAAAATATTATTTTTATTAATGAAAATAAAGGGAAAAACTTTTTGGTACCAAAAGATCATGCAGTTTTATTCTGCTACTTTAATAATGGAGAAGCCTTTTGTAACTATATAGCTAATTATGAAGGAAATATAATATTTGTTATTGGACCTGCAGAAGACCAAGAACGTATTACAGACCCACTTCCATTCGATGAGAAATTTGTCAAATTCAATTGGAAACTGCTTACAAAAAGACCAATAATGAATTTTAAAGATTATATTGTTGTGTATACTAGATAGGATTGTATTTGTTTAATTATTTATGTTAATGTGTATCGCTTACATGTAAAATGGGAAAAAAAGGAAAGTAAGGTTGGTATACCTGCAGGGGATATATTTAAAGTTGATATCCAAAGTAACAACCTATAAGGTAGCAAAAAGAAATAAGTAATTCGTTCATAATGTATAAACAATAGGTAAATATTTTCATTTTTTCATTTCTTTCTGCTGTTGCGGTTCTATGCAAATTTTTTTTTACTGAGTGCATCTGTGTAAAGCAGAAGGGGAAAAGAATAATATAGAGAACTTTTTTTCCCAAGTGTGCTTGCGCCTTGAATTTGTGGTTGCGCATGTGCATAACATATCTTCCACTCATGATGTCGCCATTTCATAATTATTCAAAGTGTAATAATTATTTTCAACTAATGAATGATAAATAAAACATATTTGATAAAATAAAGTTGAGCAAATAGTGTGCAAATAAGAGCACCTATTCATTTTTTTCTGCTGTTAAGGTTCTTTGCTAGCGTTCCTACGGTAGATGTTCTGCTTCTAGTGACTCTTTCTGTATATGATATATTTAATAATCTAAGAAAATTATTTATTTCTTATATATATGTATTAGTTTATATATATTTTATTATTTTATATTATAAAATAGTAATGGCATAACTATTATAAAATTTAAATACTTATTTGTTTATTTTTGAAATTATCATCAATTGATATCGAAATGATATTATCGATTTGCGATTATCGATAGTTGCTAAAGATGAGTGACTATGTGAGACAACTGTATTGGTTTTAGGTTATAGTTTTTTATTCCGAAGTTTATGAGTAAAAATAGTGATATTAATTTATGGCGTTATTATTTTAATCATATTAGTGATAATATAATAATAAAGTGATCATTTATTTCATTTATTAATTTATCATAAAAGCTCAGGTATGTCGACGAATGAAAATAGTGTAAATACCAAAACATATTTAGATGGAAAGAATAAGGAAAAACTATTTTGCAATTTCTGCTCATCCAAGATACTTAATGCAGAAACTGCTACTTTTATTACAATGGAGGTAAATTACATATTAAATATATTTTAATAATTTAATAAATTATTTTATAATCTGAATGTAGCGTAAACTTTATTTTGTAGCAAGTATTAGTAAAATATCTAATGATACAAATTTTACATTAAAAGATGTAATCATTTTTAGTTTGCACTACCACACATACATTCTAAAGGAGAAGGCGAAGGCATTCAACAAGAAACGATCACAGAGTACTGGTATATCGAAGATATGTTTGCGTTTGAAAATATTGGAGTATCTCATACAGTAGGAAATATAAAATACTTAGCGTGTGCAGATTGCGAAAGAGGTCCAGTTGGTTGGCATGATTTAGCTACAAAGAAATCTTACATCGCCTTGTCTAGAGTTAAGCACGTTAAGTTTTAAATCTGACTTTTATAATTTTGTAAACAAGATAAAAAAAAGTATTTGTTGGCCTATAAAAAACGTGAAAACTTGTAAAAGAATGTTTTACCAAAGATAAGGATGATCAATTATCTAAAGTAATTAAAAGTGTCCGCCTTGGAAAGGGAAAAGAATATAAATATGTATATGTACGTACACACAACACACAACAAACACACACATACAACAATATATATATATATATATATATATATATATGTATACAAATTTCTGTAGGTACATTTAATACTATTACTGTCTTTATATGCGAATTTAAGTAAAACGAATAAGAGCTATAAGATTGTACAAAGTAAAAAGTCCAACATTACATGTTTCTTTTATATGTCAATTTTCAAAATACAAGTGCAAGGAAAAAGGTATACATACCTTACATCTGAACGAATGGTTTAATATCAAAGGATATATATCTATATATATATATATACATAACATATATGTAATGTATTTTTGACAAGAAGAAGGATGGATGCTTAGACATGGATTGGTCTAGGCATAAAACACGTCGCTAGTTTAATCGACATTTTAATATTTAATCACGTTACAAACACAGCCGATAAATCAGATAATTAATCGTTACGATCATAATACGTTTACAGTGATCAATAAACCCGCTTACGATTAAAAATCACTTGTCAATGTTTATATAATACGTATGCATCCGTTCGAATCAGTATAATCTTTAACATTAATCGTGATTTATGTAGTGTCTCCCCATTTTCATGCGTGTCATCGTTTCTTTTTCGTGTAACTTTTTTTCTCTCTGTTTAATTCTGTTTTTTTCTTTTCTTTTTTTTTTTCGTTTATGTTTATGATTATTACGCGTGTGCGTTGTCCTACGCGCGCATCGCATATACGCGGGAGGAGAAAACTAATCTTTAAGAATCATTTATTTTTCTTTTTTTTCTTTCTTTCTAATTTGCCTTAAATATTGCAAAAATAATCGTGCGTTCTTTCACGCTGTTATCGGCTTTTAAACATCACAGCTTTATCTAACGTAGATTGTTACGAAGTAATATACTCGTTTCTTTTTCATTACGCGTATCCCTTTTAACAATGCAAGTGTTTAAATATACGTGCTATATAAGTGCTCATTAGTTATAATTCATAATGTTAATTTGCGACGACGGCTTTGTGTGTGTGTATGTATATATGTATGTATGTATGTATGTGTATGTGTATGTGTATGATGTGTTTGTTTGTATGCAATATTTGGTGTGTATATGCGCACACGTGTCTCTAATCGCCGTATAATTTTGTAGGCAATACAATGATAATAACAATAATGAATAATAATAAAAAGAATAATTGTATTACAAAATAATAATGTCTTTGTTATAATTAGAAGAGTACCGAAAACGAAAAATAATAACAATAACTAACAATAAGAGTAGTAAGAACAATTTATAAATTTAATGGGAATCTTATTTGCGTGATCTTTGTGTGTGTTCATTTTTTTTGTCTTCTTCTATTTTCCTCTCTTTCTCTCTCTCTCTCTTTCTCTCTCTCTCCCTTTTCCTGCTTTTATATCACATAAGTTATAATAAGGCTCATCTTTACATAAATTTATCATTTCGCTCTTCTCGACCCTACGATTCGCGCTTCGACTTTTGTAATCATCACACATTATGTTATTTACATATTTATAAATATTCCATTTCTATTTTCTCCTCTATTTCTGTTATTTTCTTTGTTTTTTTTTAATCAGCAGATAAAAGAAAAAAAAAAAGAAAAAGCTGCATTATTATTTTAATTAAACGTAAATGAAATCGGTACAATAAATAAAAATTATTTAGATTATTATATCTTAAAATTTTTGTTATTTATCGATCGGCGATTTAGAATAATTTGAGAGATACAATCTCTTTAAGAGGATGAAAAATATGAGAGTCGCGTTCCTTTCGATTTTTTTTTTTTTTTGATATTGTTATTCATTTTTTTTTTTAAACCGTAAACACGAATATTATCGATGTTGACACAACAGATACAGTTAAAGCCGTGATATTACTTTGCGAGAGATTTCGGTGCTTCACCATGGGATACTAACACTCTTATTTTTTTTTTCTTTTTTATATAAATTTTTTACTTTTGCGATGATTATCTAAAATTAGTAACAAACGGTTTTTTATTTTTATTTCTTTTTTTTTTTTTTAGTTTTCTTCATATAAGTATATATATATATATATATATATATATATATATATATATATAAGTAGGCGTACGGCACTTGCATAAGCACACAAATTACGCGTATTCGCGGTTGACCTTTTTTCTTGCATGATATTTTAATGAGTGCAACTAACAATATGAGAATAAGGACGCCATTGTGAAGTTAGCATTTTATTTACTGGCATTTCGTGGAAAAAAAAAACGAATTTGATTTTAAATATATTCATAATTATTTTTCTTTCATTTCTTCTTTTCTAACATTTATTTCAAATATTTTAATACTCCATTTTCGTGTAGTACAAAAATTAAACGCATATATACTTTATTTGGATGTTTTTGTAAACGCAAAAATATGTGATAATGTTTTTATCTTGTTATGAGGAGTTAATTTATCTCTTTTAATCGTTTATTTAAATAAATTTGCGCAAAATTTTATTGAATTATGTTGGATTAAAATAAGATACTCGTTATTCTGCAAGATGCCAGTGAATTACAATAAATGCTAACTGCGCAAAGGCAGTGAAGACTTTGTAGGATTATGTGTTTTGGTCCGTGGAGCGTTTAAACGTTAGTAACATTAATTAATTAAATAACTAATTAGCGTTCCTATCACCTAGAGGTGTTCTTATTTCATTCTTTTTCTTCCATTTTTCTTTTCTTTCCGTATTAACCTACAACAACGTGAAATTTATAAACGTAGGTGATTAGAGGGTTGTCATCTTATTCGACAATGCTGTTTTGTTTAATGTATTTTTGTCTTAATTTCATTGCAAAATATTGCTTCCCATTGTTCTTGCCGCAATTTTTTTTTTTTTCATTTTGTTACTTAACACTCATCGTTCTTTCTCTCTTTTTTTTTATTTTTTTATTTAATCAGAAAAATTTCGTCACTTATTGTTAGATATTTCTTGAAAAATTACGAATATTATTTAACACAGCTGAAGCATTTCTTTTCTTTTCTTTTCTTTTTTTTTTTAATTTCATATATGGGAATTATAATATATTTAAATAATATATTATCACATATATACTCTCCCAAAAATTGCAAATTTTCAAATTTTACGCGTTGCACATTTCGCTGAAATTGTTCAACTTTGCGATCATTTATAACCGGTTTTATGATTATTTCCTTCTTAACATTTGTTCTCTCTCTCTCTCTCTCTCTCTCTCTCTCTCCTTTTTCTTTTTTTCTTAATCTTTATAACACGGCGAAACACTTTCATTCTACGCAATATTCGTTGTGTCGATTTATAACAATTTAAGTTTCAACTTCTATCGAAGTTTAATCGCATGCGCATAAACCGTGCCATTCGTCTGTGCCATTGTTGTTGTTTTCTTTTCGAATCGAGTCAATACAAATCATTTATATACTTTTTTTTTTTTTCTTCTTATTTTTCCTTTCCCCTCTCATTATTTTTTTTTTTAATTTGATATTCTCAAAATTTTTTCTCTACGAATATTTCGTTCGCTTTTGTTCACCTCGACTCGATATATATATCTCCATAAGAGTATTATTTTCAATAAGCTTAATTATATAATATGAGTGAATAAAACGTTAAAATTTATAACGACATCGCTAGCGAAACGAAAGCATCTATGAATTATCGAGATTTCGCGCAGCTCTCTTTATGTATATATACATATAATGTATATATGATATATTATATTATTCGAGTTGTGTATCAAAGGAACAGATCTTTTTCTTTTTATTTCTTTTCTTTTCCGTTAGAACGATCGTCTGCCATCTTGTTTTCGATCGTCCATTTTCACTGTTTACGTGTATTCATTTAATTATTATTCTTTTATCATTTTTGGTCAATACCTAGCATAATTTTATATACATACATATATATATACACATATTTATATCGTCTATGAATTATTTATCTATTTACACGTATATGTATAACGTTGTTGTAACTCTCTTTATTAAGATTTATGAAGAACGAACGATCGCGTTAAACAAAAACAATTCTTTTTATTAATTTCTTCTTCTTTATTATCGTGTGTTATATTTTTCGTTTTTTTTTTTTTTTTTTTTTATTTAAAATCAGGAAAATTTCAAAAGCAAGAAAAACGTGTATATACGCGATCGTTGAATGTTTCTCGCACGGAGACGGCCATTGTTGATGATCCATTAATTTATCCACCAATTTATCATCATTATCATCATCATCATCGGTTTAGCGTATCGTCGTTAAAACAATGAATCCGTGCTTCGAACTTAATCGTATCTGGCAGTGCTTAAAAAATACGTATATATATCTTTCTTTTTCTATACATGTACGTATTTATATATGTATATATGTATGTATGTATTTACGCACGATGCGGACGATCGAGAAGATATTTTCGAAATTTCGTAAAGCGCGATTAATATTAATGTAATACGAGGAAGTCATCGTAAGACTCCGAAAAAACTGAGACGGATGAAAAAAGCCGTTCTTTTTTTTTTTTTTTTTTTAATATATATATATATATATAAGTATTATATCTATACTAGATCTTTGAAAAGCACATTCTCTCTTTTTTTTTTTTTTTAAACAATCGAACGTTCAAAATTTTGCTCTACGATTCGTCAAATTCTATCATAGTAAGTTTCTTTTGAATTTCAGTTTATATTCGTAAGTGGCAGGACCTAGTCGGTCAATTCATTAACATCAAGATTTAAAAAGGAAGAAATATAAATTAAAAGTTACAATTTTTGCGAGCCTTGCATTCGACGAACTTCTTTATGTTTTTTTTTTTTTTTTGTTTCTGTTAACTTCTACACCCCTCGTTCTATTTTTGTCTTTTCCTTGTTACTTTCTTACGAATCCTTTTACAAAAATTACAGTCGCTTTTAATTGCAGCCTGCGCGCGGCATTTAATTCTACTTGCAATTTTTATCTCATTCCTTTTTGTCTATTTCTTTCCTTCTTTCTCTGTCATTCTCTCTTTCTCTCTCTCTCTCTCTCTTTCTCTCTTTCTCTCTCGTACAATTATCAAATAAGTCTTACGATAATTATCGTTAATAACTCCCTCGAACGTTCCGTTTTTACGTATCTATTTTTCATTTTTCCTTTTTTTATTTCTCTCCTTTCTTCTCACTTGGTCTGCAGAGTATTATTATTATTATTATATATATATATATATATATATACAGTGAGTTACAGAAGTATTCGTACCCGTTTTCTCACTGTAAATTTGAAATAATTGATATTTGGTTCGAATGCAAAGCTTCAAAATTCTTATAAGCATAAACCTATTCTAGGATTTCTGATATCAATATTATTGCAGAAGAATATTTTATATTTTTAGATATAAAAATATAATTTTATTTAAATGATAAAACAAAATTGATCTCACACACAAGAGTATTTGTATTTACGTAAGATATAATAAAAATACAATGATTATTTTTGTAAGTAGTGTTTTTTTTGCATCTTATAATGCTTTTTAAACGATTCGACATATTTCGCGAGATTAATTTTTTAATTAATTGTGTGTAAAATTGTACACTTTTATTTTAATAAGATGTTCTTTTACAATAAAATTGGTATCAGTTTAAAAATTGAATAATCCTAAAATATGTTTATGTGTATAAAAATTTTGAAATGTTGTATTACAAGAAAATATTGATTGTTTAATTGGCAGTGGGAGTACGAATACTCCTGAGTGAGACTCACCGTACATATATATATATTGCTCGATTATTATTAAAGACAGTATACGTGGTATACCGCGAATCATCATCGTTCATTAATCATCTCGCACGTAGTATTGATAATGTTGGCGATAATATTTATATACGTAATAATAGTGATAACGGTATAGTGATAAGGTAGCAGCGGTAGTAATAATAGTAGGTAATAGTAATAGTAATAGTAATAGTAATAGTAATTGTAATAGTAATAGTAATACTAATAGTAATATTAATAGTATTAATAATAACAATAAAAATAATAATTATATAACATGATAATATAATAATAATTAATAAATAATAATAACAATAATAATAATAATCATGATATCGGTAGAATATACGTTAAGAGAAGTAGTTCTCGGTATAAGATTTATATATAATAGCTCGACTAGAGAAATTTCATAGCCATTTTTGTTTCGTATTCTCCATTTTGATTTTTCATTATTTCTTTCGATTTTTCGAACATAAATAATTTTGCAACAGCATGCTCTGATTATATATATATAAATTTATTATTTATAAATATATATATATATATATATTTACGCGTATTATTATTATTATTATTATTATTTTAAAGTATCTTACATCTTAATTTAATTTGATTCGTTCAATCAAATAGATATAACAAGCACGTCGTTCGCTGCGTCGAGGGCAGGCAATTGCAGTCTATCTAAGCGAGCATGGACTGTTCGGAAAAAATAAATAAAACAAATAGAGAAAAGAAAAACCAAGAAAATAGAATAAGAAAAAGGAGAAGAAGAAGAAGAAGAAGAAGAAGAAGAAGAGACTAGATTATCCCAACGTCAACCGCAGATCACGTTTCTCCTGACAAACAGAATAGTGCTTTTAAGAGTGCTATCACAATATTGTATATGTTCTGTGTCCTTTGTTTGTATTTGTGTGTATGCGAGAGAGAAAGAGAGAGAAAGAGAGAGAGAGAGGGGGAAAAAGAGAGAGAAAAACGAAATTTCGTCGGAGGATACTTTTTCTTCTTCCTCCTCTTTTTTCTTCCTTCACGTCCTCCTTCTTATCTTCCTTATTTTTCTCCTCTCGTCTTGCTCATCTTATTATATATATATATTTATGTATTTTTGTTTGTTTCTTTGTAATCTTATGCATTGTTTATTTTTTTGTTTCTTTTCGCTTTTACTCTCGACTCACAATTTGGCCGGACACATATTTAACGAGACACGCTTGGTCAATCATTGAAAGGCATCCTCCTGTTAAACGAGAAAGAGAGAGAGAGAGAGAGTGAGAGTGAGAGAGTGAGAGAGAGATGCTAACACACGCGACAAATATTGTCGTTTTTGTCATCATCGTAATCGTAATCGTAATCGTAATCGTAATTGTAATCGTCGTTATCTTCGTCGCAGTAATAATATTTCACGATCGAAGAACTCTTAGATCATTTCGATTTCTTTTTATAGTCAAAGATTAATTAATCAATCAATTAATCAATCAATCAATCAATCAATCGTCCATTTTTCATCGTCTGCTCTATGAGCTGCCCTTATAATGGATGAAGAAGAATGTAAGGAACATGAAGTAGGCGACCGGAAAGGTGATCCTTGCTATCACGTCGATCGTTTTTGCCACTCTGATTGGATGCGGTGGTTCTTTCTTTCGTATCTGTAAGATAAAGATATTATTCTCGTTAATATGCTTTACCGTTAAATTGGTAAAAAGTAAAGAGAGATTGGAAAATCTTTTTTTGTTATTAATTTCTTTTTTTGTTTTTCGATTAAATGTACATACACCAATTCGGATTCAATTATATTATGTTTTAATTTGTTTTGTTTAATATTAGATTATAATTTATAATAAAATGTATGTGTGTCTAAATGGTGTTACTAATTAGTTTTATCACTCAATTTATTATCTACGTTAGTTTTGATTTTATGGAAAAAGTATACAGGACAAATGTTACGTTGTCTCCAAGTAGTACAAGTTGAAAAACATTTTTTTTTTGTAAAGTTCTAAGTTCCTCCTCCAATATTCATGATGATATTTTATTTTCCCGTAAGTGTATCGTAGCATCGTACTTACACATTTAAATATTTGCAATCTTATTATCCAAAATTATATAATATTACGTTAAAAATATTATATGATATAATACAAACAAATATATATTTAATATTTGATGAATTTTATCGTATTATATTATCTGTGTGAGGGATAATTGAAATGAAATGTTTTCTTTTTTTTTTATATATATAAAAATTGATCTAATTCATTAAATATCTTAGAAATGAATGAAAAAAATGATCATACCTCAGCTGTGCAACCATTGGTGGCTGTGTGCGTGCATGGATTTGGGCCACAGTTGGTACAAGTAACGATCTCGTTCGGTCCCGTTCCACCACCAGTTGGAGGTCCACCCTCTCGCTTCTTTTTACCCTGCGACAGGGTCTCCGTAGAAGAAAACTTATATTCTTATAGCCCGCAGTTCGTTTAGTCGAGCAACGATCCACCTTTTACTCGATTCTTTTTCTCTTTTATTTTTATTATCATTTCTTTTCTTTGTTTTTTTTGTTTTGTTTCATTTAATAGTTGCTTTTAATCACAAATTTTTTGACTAATTGTAAGAGGATCATCTTTATCTCGGAATAATGGTAAACTGTAAATTCGTCACGAGATCGATATCGAGACGAGATAATTGACTAGCTCTGTGAATTCGACTAAAAGGAATAAAACAAAGAGAGAGAGAGAGAGAGAGAGAGAGAGAGAGAGAGAGAGAGAGAGATAGGGGAAGGATATAGGGAAACCGAGAGGGGAGGGTTGGAATAACGAGCTCTTTGATTGAACGTCGAAAATAGAAGAGCGTTTGAAACCGTTCTCAAATTCAAAAGTTCGTTCGATTGAATTCACTGAAACGATTTAATCGAGTAAATGTATCGTTGCTCTTTATTTTATTATTTACACACTCGTATAAACGTATATCGTATGGGTTATCATTTGATTCGAGATATACTTATATATTTATTTGAGAATGCACGTGTTAATTCATTTTTTTCTGATTATAAAAAAACAAAGTATAGAAAAAATTTGTCATATAATTAATAATTATTATTGTACGTTTATATCTTTCGAAATATAAATGTTAAATTACCATACAGTGTTATACGTTTATATATATATATAAATATCGAGGAATTTTCTCGTGCCTTTGCGTATTATAATATTTGGATGACATGCCGTATATAACATTTAATAATACGTCATACACCGTCACACATCGGACCTTTGTAATGTAACAAAAAAAAAAAAAACACTAAAATATTTATTTATTATAATTGTAGAAATATTCAAAAGATATGTTTTATATAGAAATATTTATCTCGAATAAATATTCATTTCTAATCAAATATTCAATTATCGCGAATTAAAATAAAAAACACTCTTTATAAGTAAATATATAATAATAATATATAGGCATTATAGTAAAGGTATATAATATATATATATATATACAAACGATTGCGTATGTATATCGTCCTATCTTTGTATTTTAGCGATCGAAGAATTTAATCATGAAATTTTCAAGATTCACGACCGTTCTTTGACACCGCCTTCCACGAAAATATTTCGGACATTTGAGATCGTTCTCGTATCGGAAGTACCGTACGGAAGTTCCGCATTGTCGAAACATTTTCCCGCATCTTCTCGTTATAATCCTTTCAATCATCTGTCTTTCTTTGGTCCGATATGGACGTTCATGTACTTTCATTGTGTGACGATTGTATATCTTTAGGAAATCAAAATACAAAAGTGTAATAAGAAACAAAAAATTAAATAAAATAAAAAAAATTAAAAGAGAAAAACAAACTATAATATATGAGACATATATATATAATAAAATCCAAATTTAGAATATATAGAAATAAAAACAAAAGAGAAAAATAGAGGAAAAAACCACTTTCGGTTTAATCGTTAATAATATAAAATATGAAATGAAATATAAAATCAAATCAAATTTAATCAAATAAAAATAGAGATCGTCATTTACGCGATCTCGAATTTGTTTTATTGAACTCTCGATCGATCGATGAAAAGGTCGATCGATCGATCGATCAAGTGGATACTTTATTTTATTTTTTTTTATTTTTTTCTTTATTTTCTTTATATATATGTATATAATAATATTTCTTATTAAATTAGCGTAGGCTATCGATGATATGAGAGTAAAAATGAGGAAGCGTATGCGTCTCGTGGTTTCATAGAAATTCTTCATATTTCTTTGTTCAATTTTTGTTGTTGTTGATTCTATTCATAATTAGAAACGCTACTAATCGTCAATTATTATCATTGCCATAACTGTTTTTCACTTTTATGCATTAGCGGCGATCTCGTTTTTTCTAATTATATATATATAAATTTTTTTTTCTTTTCATTATTATTATATTTAAAATTAATTTTCTTTTTCTTTTTACTTTTTTTTTCTTTTTTTTTCAAATTTTTCATCAATCTCACAATAATCTAATAAAGGCGGTGGTGGTTAACTGCCCAAAGCCAATGAGATGACAGTAAATACTAATATGGTTCGTTAGCCAAAAGAATGAAGAAAAAAATAAGAAAAAAAAAAAAAAAAGAAACAAGAGAAGAGAAAAAATAGATAATACAAGAAAAAAAAAGTATCAAAGACAAACGGGCTGTCTTTGAACGAAACAGGTGCGAAGTTTCAAACGATTTTTTTTTAAATATTACCGAAATTGTTCGATGATATTTCATCAAGCTTATGCTACATGTCAAGCTTTAGTAGGGTGGCCGCAAAAGAGGGTTTTGGGTGGGCGGGGGAATGAGGGGAGTGAAGGACAATCCAATGGCAAAAAGCGAATATTTCATACCATAGTTAAGAGGCGTGATATGTATATATATACAAAAAATGATATACGTATCATATAGATATCTCGTGATAAAAATAAAAAATAAATAGATATAAAAAAAATATGAAAAAAAAAAAAAAAAAAGAAAGTGTTGATTTCAGAGCGATACGTTCAAGAAAAGAAAATAGAAAAAGTAAAAGAAAGGAAGAAAATCACGTTAATAAACACGGATACTCGTTGTTTGATTTTAATACCACCGATCGAGATTAATAATAATCGATCCGAAGATCGTTATGATCCTAATGTGAACGCAAAAAAGCGCCCTCTTATTACGTGTACGAGAGATGCGAACATGCGAACCTTTTTTTCAAGCCGTTGCTCACTACTCAAACAATGCCTACGAAATAGGTAAAAGATAGATTGTACAAAAATTATTCCAAACAAACAAAAACAAAAAAATAGAGAAAAATAAGAGATAAGGATATAATATATTTATATCGATGAGAGGCCATAGTCACGACGTTTTTTTTCTATCGATCTTCTTTTTCCCCGTTAGTAACGGTTAACAAGATCATCAATTTCTCGTTTGTCTCTATCGATCGATTAGGATGAAGAAAGGTGGAGTAGGAAATAGAGATGAAAGATAGAAGTAGAGATAGATGGATGGATAGATAGATAGATAGATAAATAAATAGATTGATAGATAGATAGATAGATAGAGATAGAAAGAGAAGAATTAATTTAAGAATTAATGCGAAACGTCGTGAGTATTAATTGCCAATACGAGTAGGATATCTTGATAACAATGACTTTGAAATTCAATAGAATAAACGTTAATTATTCTATAACGAAACTTAGTATATAGATCTTCGTTAATCGTTAAAGCATGTAAAGGATATGCATGTAAAGGGAGAAGCTTGATCATGCTTAACTACATACATACATACATACATAGATACATACACATAATTCACAAACGATCGGATCAAAGTTTCGATGCGATACATGCAGGTGCATCAGTGACGTCAAGTTATGCGATTTATGCGTTTGGATACACATACAAATAGATAGAGAGGCGTGCATACTTACTTACATGCATACGTGCATATATATATATATACCGTGCATGCACATATGTATTAAATATACAAAAAAAAAAAAGAAAAAGACATTATAATAATACGTAAAAGAAAGGTAAAATATACGCTACGTATTTTCATCGATCTAACACACGATGCATATATGAGAAGAGAAAGTTAAGGTTCCTCAAGATTATTGGATTTACAAGGCGTCTTTTATCATTTCTTTTCTCGAAATGTATTTAACTATATATGTGTGTTTGTGTGTTTTGTTTCTGTATATGTATGCGTGTGCGCGTGCGTTGTTTTCTTTTTTATCCCTCTACGTCATCCCTTTTTTCCGAAGAAGCAGAACTATTGATCTCTGCCATTTTTTTTTCACGGATAAATAGTTAGATAGAAAGAGAGAGAGAGAGAGAGAGAGAGAGAGAGAGAGAGGGTTATAAAAAAAGAAATTCAAAGACGTTCGGTCGATTGGTTTCTATGAGAAAAAAACTATAGACGAATATCCGTGTTACACGGGTCTTCAAGATTTACGTATGTGTTTATATATGCATGTATGTGCATAGGTAAGAGGAATTCAAGCTTGGTTTTTTTTTCCTCGATCGAATCCTTTGTTTTTTTCTTTTACTCATTCTTTCTTTCTTTCTTTCTTTTTATTTTTATTTATTTTTTTCCCCGTCCTACTGGACACGGAGTGCGAGTCGATAGAAGTTCGTAGCTTTTTGACCTTTTCCACGATATCGACAGGAACGTTTGAAAAATTCCCCTGTGTTATACTATCTTGCTCGTTCGTTATCACCGATCGCGATATATTCTCGAATAATAGTTCGAACCTCGTTGTTATTTGAGCGTATATTCAATATATATATATTATTATATATATACATAATTTATGTATGTATATACTATGTACATAAAATAGAACGTATAATTTCGAGTGTATTATTATTTCATATAGTATGTTATTATTATTATTATTATTATTATTATTATTATTATTATTACTATTATTATATTATATACATATCACGTTACCGAGAGTTTTGCATTTTTAAAATTTATTTTCTCATTCGCGTAGTGTTACGTGTTTATATATCTCACCATGTAATTTACATAATTTATATAATTATGTACTTATATTATAGATATTTAATGTGCACGCGGTTTGAACAAAATCTTCGGTCGTGTGAGAGCAATTTATGTAATCTTTTTCCATAGCTTTTAATATGTACATAATTAAAAAAAATATTATATATCATATATATATATTTTATATTTTTTATATAATATTTTATTAATTATTTACAGATTTTGTAAGATAATTTATGATTTAAGATTAAATTGCGTCTTGTAAATCCAAGTTATCCGATGTTTTAAAGAAGAAGATTATAGAATAAAGATTATTTATAAATACACAGTATGTATAATAAGAGAGAAAAAGTGAGGAAGGGAAAATAAAAATATGATTTCCTTTTTTTTTTTTTGTTTAAATGAATTTATCGTCGAGACTACTTTCTACGTTGTTGAATGCATTTGCACGGAACGTAAGAGACTAGGCGTGTGCTGCGATTAAAAAGGTTAATATAAAAAGAAAATATTAGGCAATTGAGAAAAAGAAGATATTATAAAATGAAATAAAGAGAGAAATAGAACGAGATAGATAGAGAGAGAGAGAGAAAGAGATAGTATAGATATATGCGTATAGAAAAAGAAGGATCAAATATTTAGATGAGAAAAGGAAATAAGTGGGAGGGAAATTTAAGTAAAGGAAGCAAGTGAAAAAACAGGAGGATTTGTCAGACGTAATCAGAAACACGTTTGTAAATTTGTAAATCTCATTGACGATATCTAAATATTTTTGTATTTTATTAATTTTTTTCGCGATTTACGGACTTCGTGCGACATCTCGGCTCTCTTCGTTGATTGTAAAAATATTACTTAAACATATTCCAATATATATATGATGAGCCATTAATTAGTCTAATCGATTAATTTCACAGAAAAGAAGTCGAGAAAATTGAAAAATACATTGTTATATTATTTTTGTTATTTAATTGTTTTTTTGTCATTTAACGATATTAAAACTAATTATTAAGAAAATTTGATGTTTAATATTAAAAATTGAAATATATATATATATAGATCTAATACTCTTTGATAGAATTTTCAAATAAATTTGCGAATAATCTTAAAAATTAAATTAATCGCATTGACTTGTGTGAACAGCTCATATATATATTTAAACAATTTTTTTTTAAAGAATTTCAGCTTTTCTTATTTTATTGTTAATATAAAACACGAAATGGCAAAATAATTCGAGAGATTCAAACGAACGATTAGACAAATTTCTATAATTTGTTTTTCCAATTTGTAAGAGAATCTTATATTTGCAATTACATTTCCGGTTAAAATCTCGTTAGGAAGAGAATGCGAGTTGAAGGATGGGAAAAGTAAAGAGAAAGATAGAAAAGATGGTAAAGAGAGAAAGAAAGAGAAAGAGAAAAAGAAAAAGAGAGAGAAAGAGAGCGGAAGAGAGATAAAAAGAAACGAATGAAATAGAGGCTGACGCACGCTGGAATGATAACAAGAGAACAAGTGTTTGCGTACGTGTATGTGTGAGCGTGTATGTTGGTTGGCTGTCCTTTAGGACGCGGTTGGGACTTTGCACGTTTACGTATTCTTTTTCGAAATTATTTTCCTGTTAATTTTCATTTTTTTTTTCATCATATATGTAATATACATTTTATTATTAATCTTTTCCTATTCATTTTGTAATTACATAAAAAAGAGATGATGCATAATGAGAGATTTTCGTCCGGATTCGATCTTGGCTGCCCTCGCCCACACGTTCAAATTTTTACGAATTGTTTACTCTCTTTTCTCTTTTTTAAATTATTTTTTTATTTTTATATATATATTTTTGTAAATTAAAGTTTACTTCGGTTATTCGTTCGTTTATTTTATTTTGTCCATTTCAATTAAATATAATTTTTGCCCATTTCTTTTACTTTTTACTCGTTCATATATTTCTTTTATTAAAATACTTTTTTTCTTTTTTTCGAAAAGAGTATTTAATTTTTTGTTTATAGATTACGAATAATATTATAATTGAATATATTCTTTTTTTTTTTTTTGGATATTTCTTGCATTAGAACGGGCGAGAGTGGACGAGATGGAGTCTCTGGATAATTTTAGCGAGCCGAGGACGCGCGAAGTCACGACCGCGCCCTAATACAATGGGGGGTCTTACCAAAGGGCTGGCCAATATAATCCCTATCCTGCTGAGCACCGCTGGAAGCCGCTGCAACATCACAGACACCAAACAAAGAGACTTACTCACCAACATTTCGACCAACGAAATTTTTTACTAATCGTGTGTGTGTTAGTTCATGATAGAAAGGTAGAGAGTAAAAGAGAGAGAGAGAGAGAGAAAGAAATAATAGAATGTGAAAGAGATAGAGATAGAATCTATACAAAATTGTATATAGACAAAAATAATAAATAAATAAATAAATAAATAAATAAATAAATACAGTGTGAGAACGAAAGGGATAAATATAATTGGTGTAGATGTATTAAAAAAAAGAAAATAGAAAATAAAAAAGAATAACGTAGGAAGAATATAGAGAAATATAATAAGAGAAAAAACAGAGAGACAAATTAACAGATAGAACAGTTGAGTGACAGAGATACGTATATAATTACGTCGAAAACGAGGTGAAACACATAGAAATAAATAGATGGATAAAGATAGATAGATAGATAGGTAGATAGGTGAATAGGATGATCGATACTTGAACATGAGTGAGAGAAATTAGAGACAGAGAGAGAGGGAAAGAGGAATAGAGAGAGAGAGAGAGAGAGAGAGAGATAGAGGAAGGGATGAAGTGTGGAAGAGAGAAAGCATGTTCATTTAATTTTTGCCTATGTTTTCGCTTGTTTTCCTATTT